ACTTCTTCTACACTCTTCTGTAGGAGATAGGTATCATCATCCCTATTTTACAGATGAAAATACTGATCCCCAGAAAGTTTAAGTATTTTGTCAGAGTCGTAGGATTAATAACCAGCAGCACGAGAATTTGTCTCTGGCTGTCTTTCTCCCAAGCTTCCCACCATTCTGTGTTTTTCTTAATGAATCTTGATCCCTAGGCCTGAGACATTTCCCCTCCCCCCCAGTTATGTATAACATATTTTGAAATATCCATTTCGTTAGAAGTAATACATTTTTCATGGCAAACCGGCATATATGTAAGAATCCTTAGAGAAATGTGTGGTAAGATTTGGCAGATTTCAAAGGCCTTGCTGACCCTTGAAGGTGGCCACCCAATGGAAATGAGCGACCAGATGATCTAGACATGGCTGGGCATGACTTGTGGTGAATGCTTGGAAGAATCTTGAATCATTTGCAGATAACTGACTGAAGGTGATGGCCTTTGATTAACGGAAGACCAGACTATCTCCTGTCTTATTCTGGTTTTGCAGGTGTCCTTTCCCTCCACCATGGAGAACCTTTGAGTAGAATCACTAAAACCTCTCATTTTTTTCTCCATGAGTTCTGGGAAGGCAGAAAGAACCTGTTGCCCTCAGGATTCCATCATCTAGTACCATCCTACTACCTGGAAGGGTAATCCATAAATCATCTATGAAATAATGATGTTTTCTTTCATTTTGAAACCATGGACATTCTTTGCTATATTCTTCTTTTTTTTCTGACCATTGCTCTGGGGACAGCCTCTGGGCTAGTGGTGGACTTCCTTCCGTTTCTCCTTTTGGATCCACGCTATACACCAGATTCCTAACAAGGCACCATCCACATGCTTACTGGCAAATCGAAAATGAATCCTCTCCTGTTTATCCATGCCTGTTGTCCGTTGATCTTTTTGCTAAGTCTTGGGAATCGCACTGGGTTGTTCCTTCTAGAAGCTCACAGCCTGTGAGCAGCTTGAAAAAATAACTCAAACATGATGAAGACCATAGTCAGTGTTAAATGAGGCATGGGTGATGAGCTATGGGAGAAAGGATGATTAATTTTTCCTGGAGAAATCAGGGGAGGGTGCGCAGAGAAGACAGATATTTAAAAAAAAATTTATTACATAAATGAATTTTGAGTAGCTCATCCCAAGTTCACATTCTACATAAGAAACTCAAAAATAGAGCTCACTGTTTCCAATTCTGGCTGTTTAGGATGCTGACTCAGATTCAGATTCATAGCTTTGAGAAGAAGAGTCTAAAAAAATAATTAGAGATACAAATCTCAATGACTGTTTCTTATTAGTAGGAAAGCAACTGTGGGTCACTTGAAAATATTACTTAATCTCATTACTTCTCATTTCACATACTCCTATGCAAGATATTTTTAAACCCATATTTGTGCTGAAATTAATAGGAAAGCGTGTCATCCTATTTTATTGTGATCGCAATAGTTAACTTCATGGCAAACAAAAGATTAGAGATAGAAAAGCTTTGAACTGGTGACTATGATTTCATTCTTTAGCAATTCACAAGGTCATGGACTCAAGCCAGATTAGAGAACAAGGGCCTTAAAAATGTTAATACCTGTTGACTCAGAAACTTCACTTCTGGGAATTTATACCAAAGATATAATCCAAAATTATGAGAAAGATTTATTGTCCAAGTATCTACATCCAAGTAGTGAAAAAATCAGAAACAATTGAAATAGCCGTTAGCCTGAGGGAAGTCATTCATTCAGTCATTAAAGTTTTCTATAAATAATTCTGGTGGTATGGCAACGTGCCACAATGTTAAATGGAAAGTGGGCTACAAAATTCTGCATCAAGTATGATTTCAACGATGCGAACAGATTATATTCACAGAAGTGGAGTGGAAGGGAGTTTGTCAAATATTAAAAGCGATCATTTCTGACAGTGAGATTATCTTTGAGAGTTGTGTTGTCTTGCCTATATATTTCTGTATTTTTGTGTGTCTTCTGTAAGGAGACATGCTATTATGCCATTAAAGCTGGTGATATTAGAGAAAACCCCCACAACTTAGACCTCCAGGGAGGAGGTACAGCACAGGCCAGCATATTCTGAGGTTCAAGGGCAGCATGGTTCAGAGCAGTAGCAGAGATTTTCAAAGCAAAAGAGCATGACCAACCAAACTTGGACTTGTCTGGGTCCACAACTGGGGGCCCGTGACGGCAGGAGGAGCCTGGGAGGCCAGGCACCAGTCAACACGGTCGGCCAGGCACTGGTGGCCTCATGGCGTCATGAGCTCAGGTCACTCACAGCTGGACTCAGACAGCACGGAAGGGGGTGAGGAATGGCACCTGCAGCCCAGGCAGAAGAAGCAGGCAAGGACTTGACAGGGGGGTGCAGTTGAACAGGCAGGGGTAATGGTCAAGGGGGTGGGAAAGTTCTAGAACACCAAATAGGTCCTGAGCTGGAAGCCCCACTGCATGGAATCATCCCTCTCCATAAGGATGGGGTTGGTATTAGCTACTAGAGACCAAGTTTCCTCTTAGGCATCAGGATTCCAGGCTGATAGTAGAAAGAGCAAAGCGAGGACCTGCCAGGCCAGGATGGGGCCTCCAGGCATGGACCGGGCTGAGGCGGCTGGCAGAGCGTCAGGACTCCATGGGACTCCAGCTTCGAGGGACTGGCTGCTGTTGCTCCCGATGGGCAGTAAACTAAATGTGTGATAATGTATACAAGACAAGCAGTTAGAGATGTCCCTTTGGTGATCGTCATTAACCATGGAAATATTTTTAGTTGCTAGTACTTTCTTCCAAGAGAAATGCTATTTCCAAAGATGGCTCTGTCAGGAATGTGGGCCTCCAAGCCACGTATGTTTCATTTTTGTACTCAGCGTGTGAAGCCAAGTCGCCCTGTATATTTAACCCACGTTCTGGTTGGTATCCCTGAGCTGTGCTGGAACAGCCAGCAAGCCCCTCGCTGGAAAAATGACAGGATAAATATTGTGCCATTCAAAGCACAGAAGAAAAAATACACCTCAGTGTTTTCTTTAAATACTTTACATTTATCTAATACTTTCTATTACACCCATGCATTTGTTCATCATGACAGATGTATGCTGTGTCGACATAGCCAGCCCAGAGAGGTTGGTGACTGCCCTGTGCCAGCCACTGTTTATACGTAGGGGTGTGTGTGAAGTGAGTGTTTTGAAACAATTTACAAAAACATGCATATGTAATCTCATATTATAAATATATTTGTATAAAACATCACAATCTTCACAACTTGCAAGGGAGATTATCCCCATTTTAAGGATAAGAAAACAGAGGATCAGAAGAGCTAAGTGACTTGCCTGAAGTCACACAGCATCCAGGAGGCCAAGTCAGGATTTGAGAGCAGCTAGGATGCCTTGTCCTCGTCCCAAAGGTCAGAGGAGGGGTTTCCCGCTCCCGCAGCACTGAGGTCCCCGAGACCGTCCTTGTGGGTCCTCCAGGCCCCCTCCTCAAAGTTCAGGCATCTGCAGATTTCCTTCTGAATACCTTTCAGTGCAGCCACGACATTTCTGTCCCTATATCTGAGAAGTGTGAGTCACTCCTGTTGGGAATAATTAGAAAAAAATGGGTCTGGGAGTTGGGCAGTGGAAAAGGAAGGGGTGGGGGGAGAAGGGCTAGGCAGCACAGAAGAGGGTGAGTGAGTTGGGGAGCTGAGGGGCGGCACATATTCAGAACTGGCCTCCCACCCCACGTGTGTCCCGAGGAGAGCAGGTCCCTGAGTGAGGGGGGCTGATGGGGCAGTTCCTCCACCAGGAATCAGGAAGCAGGGCTGAGGCCCCTCACGCTAGCGAGGGTGGGGGGGCGGGATGTGAGGAAATACCTCTGTATCTGAGCCCCTACCGGAAGGTAGTACATTCCAAGCAGTTCATTTTCACAGCATCCTGTAGATTGAGCAACTCCTGGTGATTAGGTGAGAGGTGATTGAACCTTCAGATGGAACACACGTGCACACACACATGCACACGCGTGCACACACGCACAGAAACACGCATGTATGCGTGCACGCAGAAAAAAAGGCTCAAGGTGAATGTTATCCGCAACAAAGCAAAATACATTCCAGACATCTTGTTCAAACTGCGAGGGAGAAAGAGCCTAAAAATATCAAGGGAGCATCGTGAGGCAACTTACTCTGTTCCTAAGTTTACGACAGATAAGATACAGATAAGATAGATTACCCCGTCCTGTGCCGTTGCTGTTGGATGTCGGTGAACACAACACTGAAAAACGGCTTTTCACCACTTTCTTCCTGCCCTTCGTCCCACAGCGTTTCTTCTCGGCCATGACTCCTCCCATCTTAGAGATTGTAGGGATCTGAGCTGGTGGTTTTTTGTTTTTTTTTTTTAACAAAAAGGGTTTCTGTCACCTTGTCTCGGTGCTTACTGCATCGCAACGGAGCTCTCTTTTCATAAGGGTCTCCCTGCCCCAGATGTAAGCTCTTTTTTATTTTTTTAAGATTATTTATTTGAGAGAGAGAGGGAGTGAGCAAGCACAAGCAAAGGGAGCGGCAGACAGAAGGAGGGGAGAAGGGACGTGGGACTTGATCCAAGGACCCCGGGATCATGACCTGAGCCGAAGGCAGACGCTTAATGACTGAGCCCCCCAGACGCCCCCCAGATGTAAGCTCTGGAAGGCAGGCGCGCTGTCTTACTCACTTGGCATCCCCTCTACCTGGTGCTGGCACATAGAAAGTACCACATGTTCATCTCGCTTGCTTATCATGCTCTGTGCCAGTTTAAAGAGTTGTGGTACCCAGGGCTTTGTTCCAACCATTTGAGGAAAGGGAGAATCTGGGCCCTCACTGCTCCCTCCCCACAGGGGTGTTTGCAGGGTCCCGGCCCTTTCCAGCCTCGCAGGCCCAGGGCGGAGGCCTCCTGAGCCACCTGCATGGTTCTGTAAGCGTCACTTGTGTTTGTCTCACGCGAAACAGCTTGCAAATGGCAGTTCACTGTGCTTTCTGATTTCAGCTTTCCAGATATCTATGTGGACAGAAAACACAGATTCCCTCCAGTTTCTGACAGAATGTCTTCATCGATGCCTCAGCTTTCAAAGCTTTCCGTAGCCAGGTACTGGTCAGTTGAGTCGATATGGCTGGAAGATTCTGCGTCTCCTACACCTATAGCTACTCTCAGTAGAGTGTGGTCCGGAGGGCACAGGCAGAGGAATGGGGCTGCAGAAGCAGAGATGTCATTAAAACTATCCACACTTCTCCCTTAACGCAACAGGGCAGAGTGGGAGGGAAGACAGCTTTTCTCCACAGAGAGACTTGATATGAATCCCGGTCCAGGCCTTTGTCTGTTGCGTGACTTTGGTCGACTGACTGACCTTCTCTGAGCCTTCGGTTCTTGAGCTATAAAGTGCAGATGATTGTACCCAAGGATCACTGGATCATTGTGGGCATCAGAAATAATTTTTTGGCCAATGTGATCACAGCTATGTTAAATCTCACCTACCATGTGCATCCGCACAGACAGAGGATAGAGAAACAGAAAGACAGACAGAAAAAATCCTGGAAATAAAACTCCAGTATGTTAGCAGGGGCTGTAGGTGAGTGGTGAGACAAAGGGTGAACTTTCCTCCCTTTTCCTGCTTTTTGGTATCTTTAAAGATTTTTTTCCATGAATATATATTGACCTTCTAGTTAGGAAAACAGAAAATAAAGAAGTGTAAAATAGGCGAAAAGAAAGAATATGGATTAAGTACCAGGCATAAGTTGGCACTCGGTAAATGGTAGCTATTTTTACTAATTAGTCATTATGCCTAATAATAATAATTAGGCTTAACAATTTCCTCTGGGACCAGAGGTTGTGAATGAGTCTGCTGGTGGCTGCTGATGACTCCGTCTCAGTCAGGGGGAGCTCTGGATTCACTTCCAACCAGGCTACCCCTCCGTTGCCTCCCTGATGCTTCTGCGAATGCCTGAGCTCCAGACTCCCCAGCACTCCCTCTGCTTCCCCCACATACCAGCCCGAGCCCCAGCAGTACTGCGGTGCCCCCGGCAGAGGGGAGCTCACTTTCAGGCAGGCAGAGGTGTTCTCCATGGAGGGGCTCGTCCAAGGACGGTGGCTGTGGCCGGGGTGGGACACTGCCATTGCTTTATTGATGGCAGGTCAATTGTCTAGAGTGAGAGGGTCAAGAGTCTCGTCTATTTCTTCTGTTTGAATCGCAGACAAGGTCCCTGGAAAGAGAGCTTCGCAGCATGTAATTGCTTGATGCTGTTAGTTAGCAAGCCACGGAAGTGAAACGTGTCCGCCTCTCTTTGCTGATGGCATAGTGAGAAAACTGGTCAGAAGTTAGCCCAAGTGAGGCTTTTAGACGAACCTACCAGACACCTTAGGGCCCCATAGGGTGAACCAGATAGAATTAAACGTCTTCTAAGGAAAGAGAAAGTGAGGTCCCTAACTAGCTGCATGACCATGAGCAAGTCCGTCCGCCTCTTTGAACCCGTGTCTGAGATGGAAAATGAGAGACCAGCACCACTGCTCCCCGAAATCCCTGGACGTTCTCAATTCCGTGACATGCTGGTGATAAACACTGTTGGTTCTGAGAAGAAACTGGACTTGGAGGTTTCCTCTGCTTGGCAGGCAAGCTGCCAAAATGTGACAGCTAGGATGGGAAAGGACAGGAATTCTCTCTGGGGCCAACACTTAATCAGTGTGGCCCCCAGAGGTGACAGATGATGGCAGGATGGCAGCTGGTGGCTTCGAGAACAGTGGAAACAGCAGGTCCTCCACAGGTGCATGCGAGCCCTCCATCGTGTCTGTGTTGGGTGTGCGATGCCCGCCGTGTGCCAGGCACGGTGGCAGAAGCTATGTGTCCTGCACATCATGTCTATGGTTGGGTACCCTGTAGGAGTGGCAGCTGAGACACAGGAGCCTGGCTCCCTTTTTTCCCTTGACATTTTCTGTGCCTCAACCGTAGTGTCAGTGTGTGGCCCCAAGAATTGGAGAGTGAGCGAGATTATCCCACCTTCACAGAGCTGGCAGTTTAGAAATAATTACAGACAAGTAAAGGGGTAATTGTTGTGTAGTGTGAAACAGTCTTCAAAAAAGAGGTAAAAGTAGGGTGTCATGAAGGTGAGGTGGAGGCAATGACATTCCAGGCAGAGGCAACGGCATGTGCAAAGGCCCAGGGATACTATCCAAGGGAAGGACCTGGTGAGCCTTGTGGTCTGGCGGTCCCTGGGTTTACATGGGGTTGTGGAAGGTCAGGGCTGGAGGTGACACAGCCAGCACATGAAAGGACTTGACCTGGCCATGACCCTGCAGGCAGAAGGGAGTCAGTCATTCGTGTGTTCATGCACCTGGCCAGTGTTTAGTGAGGGCCTACTGTGCACCAGGACGAGGAGCCAGTTGTGAACAAAGCCATCACCGATCGCTGCCTTTGTGAACCTGACATTCTTTATTGGAGGGGGTGGTGTGTGAGAGAGCAGGAGATGGGCAGCAACAAAGTAAATGAGTAAAATCTACGCTCTGATAAATGGCGGTAGTGCTGGGGGGCAGGTAGAATGGGACAAGGCAGGCCCTCGTAGGCTGGCGAGAAGTGGGTGTCACAGCTTTAGCTTTAGGCAGAGTGGCCAAGGGAGGCCTGCCAGAAAAGGGGACATTTCCACAAGGACTTGAAGGAAGTAAGGGCGAGACACGGGGACAGGTTTAGGGGCATGAGGTAACATGGTCAGATCTGCCATGTGGCTAGGACCTGGAAGATGTGTTGGGAGGGGAAGCTGGAAGCAAGGAGACTGGTGATGAGGCTATTGGGATTCAAGTGACCCACCATTGAAGTGACAGGTGGTGGCAGCTTGGAATCCGGGGAGCGGCAGTGACAATGGAGAGAAGTGTGTGCTGCAAGGTGACAGAGGAATGACACTAGGCTACTCGTGGGGTTTGGGAGTTACCCTCCTCTCCCGTCTCTGGCTCAGGCACTGTGGGTGTTATATCTCTTTCCTGAGCTGGGGAACCAAGCCCAAGGTCAGGTTTGTGACAGAAATGGATGCGCTTCCAAGTATTTTGCCTACTGCACTGCTCACAACACCCAGCAGGTGGCAGCAGCCCACGTGACTGTCGTGGAGGAAAGAAGGGCCCAGATGAGATGTGGTACAGTCCCCCAGTGGAGTATTATTCAGCCTTTAAAAAGAAGGTCTGAGACCTGCTATAGCATGGATGAACTTGGAGGACATTGTGCTGGGTGAAATAAGCCAGACACAAAAGGACAAACACTGTATGCTTCCACTGACATGAGCTTTCTAGAGTGTCAGCTTCATAGAGCCGGGAAGTGGCATGGCAGTTGCCAGGGGCCAGAGAGGCAGGAAATGGGGAGTTAGTGTGTAACACGCAGAGTGTAAGTCCAGGAACGTGGATTGTGGTTGTGGTCGCACAACAGTATAAAAGTACTCAATAGCACTGAACTGTACCTTAAAAATGGTGAGAATGATACATTTCATGTTACCTGTACTTTAAGAAACTGTTTAAGAATCTGTGTCAGGTCATTTACCTAAAGTCGGGCGACCAGCCAGTCCAGCCCAGCTCCGGGGCCCCCTTGCACCCTTGCCTCTCGCTCTTCCCTGGTTCTAGACTGTCCCGGATCACCTGGTAAGCGACTTGGCCTCTCTAGACCTATTTTTCCTCCCCTGGAAGGCGGAGACGACACTTCCTGGAGTTGATGAAAGAATGAGACGTGATCACACACTCGCCTCGGTGAGATCCTATCTCCTTGCATAGTGTTGCTCTCCTTATGTCAGGATGCCTGACTGGTAAAACAGCGCAGACCTAGCTAGAAGCCGCGCTCCTGCTCTATGAGCTGTGTGACCTTGGCAAGGCGCTTATCTTCCTGAGCCTCAGTTTCCACTTACAAAGAAGGCCTGATATGTTCTACCGGGCAGGGGTGAGGGCAAGACTAAATACGACCTTGGATCGAGGTCCCCAGGGCAGCGCCTGGACACCACGGACTCCGATAAAGGGCTGCTGTTCCCATAAGGACACAGGATCATCGTTAGACAAGGAAAAAATTAACACAGCAACGTGACCAGTCAATTCAACATCCTTCCCCACTTCCACACCATTTTGTAGGCGGATACAGCCTCTCCCTTCTGGGAGTTGAGGTGTTTGTGGAATCCTGAAATTACACCTTTGTGTTGGCTTCAGGAACAGGTCTGCGTCTAATCTGTTTTACAAAGGAGATCCATTCAACTGAGTCTAAATAATAGTTCCTGAGCTCCTGCTTGGGCCTGGCCCCAAGCTGCTGCCCGAGAGTCAGACATGAGCCAGATAGGGCACTGTCTGCACAGAGCTGATTGATATTAGCCAAGGATATTATTCCAGCAAAGTGCGCCGGGAGATGGGAAACCTGTATTCTTCCTGAACTATAAAGCCCGAGTGCCAGGAAACCTTGGACAAACCGCTCCCCGTCTCCAGAGCTCAGTCCTTGTCTACATACAGAATGACGACCACCAGTCTCTATGACTTAAAGCTCTTTCCTTTCTAAATGCATTGACTCCTTGGCCCCGTGTCTCACTCTGGAAGCAGTCTGCAGGGCATAGGGTGTTCCGGGAAAGGTGGCCAGATCACTGCTTTCTGTGCTCTACAGACCTGGCCTTGGGGGCTTGGCAGTCAGCCAGGAGGGACTTGGCCCCATGGCGTGCTGGGACTCCAGCTGCAGAAGGGTAAGAATGGAGAGGCTGCTGGGGCTGGGCAGAGTCTGGAATGCAGAGACCCAGAGTCAGTTCTGGAGGCCAAGGCTACAGCAAGCTAAGGGAATGGGGCACAGCTCACTCCAGGCACCCAGTGTGGGCTGGGGCTTCCTGGGCACCCCCAAGCCCTTCTGCCCTGACTCCCCAGGAGCACACCAGCCAGGGCAAGAGGAGATGGCCCGTGAGGAGAGGTGCCTTCTGGCCTTCCTTTACCTGCCCAAGGGGTGGGAGCCCCTCTCCTCAGATCAAATTCCACGGAAAATGGGGCGGAGTTTGCTTCATGGGCATGCCTCCTTCCCCCAGCACCTGTGGGATGACTGGGAAAGGGTTCTGGCATCTTCCTGATTGCTGGTCTGCCTTCTGGTGCTCTGTCTATCTCAT